GGGGTGGGGCCTGTGTCTTTGGGGGAGGACAGCAGGGGTGTGAGGGGAGTGTAGCAGTAGTAGCCCAGCGCGCCTAGCTGCTGGGGCGGGGGAGGGCTCTGAGCGCTACCTGGTCCTTCCTGGCCCCATCGGCCTTTCTAGTGCTGAGACGGAGGAGGACAGGGGCCCGCCCCGGCGCTCTGGGGACTGCGGGACCAGAGGCCTGGGAGTTGGTGCTGAGCACTGGTCTGGAACCCACTGTTTTCCCATCTCCCTCCCCGACACACTCACGGGATGAAGATGCCCATGCAAACACACAGACACAAACACACCCACACACTCCACCCACAGTCACACACACACACACACACACACACTCACACCGGCACAACTCGCACCCACAGACACACTTGCGCCCACGGTCTCTCCCGTGTTCTTCGTGGAGGCCGGACTGGTGCCTCCCATAAACAAGCCTCAGAACACGGCGGCCCATTAATAATAAATATCGATTACTGCTCCGGGCATCAATAATTAAGGCCCGTTACAGTAATTACACAATTATGATGACGATGAATAATTCAGACAGGGAAACGGGGCTGGTGTGGCTGAGCCCGGCTCGGTGGGACGGGCCCAGCCGCCCGGGCCAGTTACACCGAGGGGTCCAGGCCGCAGCTCTGACAAGGAGCGGGTCCCGACTTCCTTGCCCTCTCCAACTCCCGCGGGCACCCTGCCTGAGCCTCCGGGCCTCGGTGCCGGACGGGCTGCAGGGCTTGCCCCCAGCCTCGGGCCTGGGTGCTGCGGAGCGGGTTTGCTCGCGTGTGCCTTCTCTATCTGCCATCTCCCGGGAGCGCCTCCGCCCAAGGGCCACTGACTGGGAACCTGGACGGTGCAGCACCGCTCCCAGGGTGCCGCTGGGAGAAGCAGCAGCGTCGCTTTCTGGGACTAGCTCACTGACTCCCCTCCCCCCAGCCACTGTCCTCTCCAGGGCATCTCGCCCCCCCTCCCCCGGGGACAGACAGGTGGGCGGAGCTCCAACAGCAGCTCCAAGGGCCCTGCCTGCGGCCCCACCCCCACAGCAGAGTGTTCCGGGTTAGGGTCAGGGTATCGGGGTCAGGAAGCCTGGCTTAGAACCCCGGCTCGACCACTTTCGAGAGAACACCTGGAAAAATGGCCCACGCCTCAGTTTCCTTATCTGTCAAATGGGGATGAACGGCTGTGGAAGGCGGGGGAAAGTTTGAACGAGGCAATGACTGCGCCCTGTTATCAACGCACTGGCGCGGTCCGCTGGGCCTCCCGCAGGTGCCCCGGGCCTAGCACTCTGAGGGGCCGGGGTCCCTGGGCACCACAGCCCTGACCCCGGCGCGCGCATGTATTTCGGTTCCCCAGGACCAAATGGAAGCGACAGACGGCCGTCGGGCTGGAGCTGCTGGCGGAGGCAGGCAATTACTCGGCGCTCCAGCGGATGTTCCCGTCGCCTTATTTCTACCCGCAGAGTCTCGTTTCCAACCTGGATCCCGGCGCCGCGCTGTATCTGTACCGCGGGCCCAGCGCGCCGCCGCCCGCCCTGCAGAGACCCCTGGTGCCCCGCATCCTCATCCACGGACTCCAGGGCGCCAGCGAGCCGCCCCCGCCGCTGCCCCCGCTGGCCGGCGTCCTGCCGCGCGCCGCGCAGCCCCGGTGAAGCGCCCGCCGCCCCGCGGGGCTGCGCGCCCGCCCCGGCCGCCTGCTTCCCGGAGGGCACGGGGTGAACGCCCAGCCCCGGGGCCTCCGTCCGGCTCTCCAGCCGGCGTCCGCACGAGGGCCAGATGCCAAGTCTACTGAGGCCCCGCCCCCGGACCGAGTCTCCCTAACGGCCCTCCGCGTCCTCCCTCCCGGCCAGTCCAGCCGGAGCCACTTCCAACCACGGATGTACATACGGGACACCCCACTGCCGGCCCCCAAGGCACCCCCTCGCCCCTCCCGGAAGCAGGCGGGGCGACCCCAGGCTGCGCTCGCTCCCCCCCCTTCCACGCCCCAGCTGTGCACCGAACCCCTCCCCGCACCCCTGGCCGGGGAGGGGGAGCGTGGCGCCCCAGTCCCGGCGCCCCCCGGCCGGCGCGGAGCTGTACATACGGTGTGCAAAGTGTACATGAAGTTATTTATTCGTGACCCATGAGCCCGTGACTGTGTCCGTGAATCAGTGAGTCTGTGGCCTGTGCCCGCCCCCCTCCCAGGCAGGGCAGGAAGGGGCCCAGGGGGCCTGACCCCCACCCCGACCCCAGGCCTCTGTCGGGAGGCAGCCAGGCCCCTCGGGTTCTCTCTCTCTCTTTTTTAAATGTCGAAATAAACTTCTTACAAATGACCAGGCGCCTGTCCGCGCTCAGCCCTTCTTTGCCATCTCTGTGAGCCCCACTTTCCCTCTTGGGACTCAGTGTCCTTCCGCCGCGGCGGGGGACTCAGTCTCCTTCCGCCGCAGCGAGGACACTTTGTGCGCCCCTCTCCCCTTCGGCGCTGCGGCCGTGCGCAGGGGCCCCCACCGGGCGGCTGGCCGCCGCCTTCCTCTCTCCACAATGAGGCCAGCCCGCCGCTCCCCGCCTGCCCCCACCCCCGCCCCCGGCCTCTCCAGCTGGGCCCCTGCCGCTCGCAGCCGGTCCCGGGGGCCGGGGTGGGGGTCAGCGGCCGGGCCCGCTCGGCTGCGGGCCGGGCTGCGATGCCCTCGCTGAGCCGGCTCATCTGGCCGCGACAAGGGCGCCGGCAGCTGGTGACCGGCCGGCCGCGCGCGGGGCCGACAGATGGGCTCCGAGGCTACTCCCCCGTCGGCCCCTCCGCCCGCGCCCCGGCCGCTCGCCGGCGCCGGCGTGGCTCCGGGCCCGCGCTCCGCGGACCCGAGGAGACTTCTCTGGGAACCGGATGCCGCACTGGGTCCCCCTACTCCCGTGTCTCCAGCCTCGGAGCCCGTTCCCTTGGAGTATGTAGGAGACCAGACGCAGAGAAGGCCGAACCCCGTCGTCGGCCCCAGGCCCCGGGCCCAGCCGGGGGCTCCAGGATCCCAGGGGTTGAACTCCGGAGGCAGACTCCAGGCTTCCCGTTCACCGTCCTGGCCCAGGTGGCCCCCAGAGGCCGCTCCCCCTGTGGGGGTGTGGTGCAGGTGCCCCGGCTCCCCCGCTGCACCACCTGCAGCTCAAAGGCCTCGGACTGAAGACACGCCCAGGGCGGGCAAGTCTGGGGGCTCAACAGGCCAGCCCCCCCCGCCCCCCGCTTGGTGGCAGGATGGCTCTGGGAGAGCAGGGGGTGGTGGCCCGTTTGACCTGCACCCCGCACCAGCCCCCCTCCGTCTCCTCCCCACCCCCACCCCACCCCTCCACCCACCCCGGCCTTTTCTTTCTGGGACAGCGAGGGCATTATCCTGATTTTGCAAAGTGCACAGCAGCTAATTAAGTCAAGGAGCCCTTCGGCTTTCGGGGTCTTTTGCATGTGAATGGGGGCTGGTAAATCCCCGGCTCTGGCTGTGGTGGGGGCCGGGGGGGACTGTCCCCAACTCAGGGTTAATGAAGTGGGAACGGAGTCTCGCAGAGCCTCCTGCAAACAAAACCCCCCGCACAACAAACCCTGCCCCAATCCTACACGGATTGACTTAAACCCAGGGGATAAGTGCTTTAAATTAATCTCATTGAATAAGAATGAGACCAAACAAAACTCTTTAAAATCATATTAAAAACCTATCAAAGGACAACTTGCACCGGTGTGCTTCTCATTCTGTGGAAGTGCAGGAGGCGGCCGCGGCGGCGCCGCTCCCGCGTTTACACAGCGCAGTGCAAACCGCAGACACCTCCCCGACGATGTCGCCGTCCTTGTACCGCGGCGGCGGCTCCGTCTCGTACACTAATGAAGAACAAGGCTTCCCGACAAGCCTCTAATTACGATATTTCCAACTGCCCCGCACTCCCCGTCTGTGATAATAACCTGACAACCGTTACGGGGAGGTGGGTTCTGCTTCCCCGCAGCAGCAGGTGAAATTAGTTTCCGTTCCCGCCCCTGGCGCGGGGTGGACCCTCCTTTAAAATAGAAAAGACCCTCCACCCCCCCCAAAGTCAGACCCCCCAGCGAGAACAATAGGAGAGGCACTGAGCCGGCTTTCTCCGGTTCCTGCTTTGCTCCGTGGCCCCCGCCTCCCCCGCCTCCCCGCCTCTGGACTCCACAGGGGAGCACGACCGAGTTCAAAAGTTTAGGTTCCCCTTCGAGCCTGGAAGCAAGGCTGGGGGCGCTTTCTGGGAAGTGGGCTGATTTTAAGGGGGCCCCGGGGCCCCGTCTCTGAGTGCCCCAGGGTGGGGCGGATCGGGAGGAGGGGTGGCGGCCGAGCGGACCCTTTAACAAGATCACGTAAGGGCTCTTTTCGCGTGGGGCGGCCTCAGCGGGAACAGCCTCACTACGCGTCTTTCTCCTGGAAGCCACGGCTGGGTTCCGACGGCCGGCTCTGCTGACTTCCGGCTGAGGGCCGGCGTGCCAGACGGCAAGGCCGCTGGCGGTCTGTGCGGGGGGGGGGGGGGGGGACGGTGTGCACCCTCCCATTGACTCGCCCCCCCCCCCACTAGGGCAAGAAAGAAATCTAAAGGAACCCAGCGGACTGCATCAACATGCCCTTCCCCTCTCCCCTGCCGAGAACCGCTTGGGTCTTTCTTCCGGAGGGGAAGGGGCCGGTCCACCTGCTTCAGGGCTGACCGACTCCCTCTTCACCCTTCAGCGCTGGAGAACCAGGCCCCCCCCCCCCGCCCCACGGGAACCCTCGAAGGGCACTCCCAGGAGGCATCCCACCCTTCTCCCACGGGCCCACGAGGGAAAGGTTTGGGCCTGCAACACCGCGGGATGTCCACACTCTCTGGGACTTGAAGTACGAGGGTCAGGTAAGTTTGGGGGAATGGAGGGGGGGAAGCACGACGCACACACACACACACACACACACAAAACCAGGATGTGTGCCGTGGGATTAGGCGGAAGCTTCGCCTGACCGGTGCCTGAAACATATAATCTGTCGAGAGCCATAATAAGAGAGAAAGAGATTTATTTTAAGGTTATTTAAACTTCGATAATACGAACCCTAAACCTGCTAAATCCGTGTTTCTTTATTAACTGGGGGTAACAGACTGATTCTACGACGACGAGAAACCCTCACTCCGGGTCAGCAAATGCAGCGGAAGTTGCGATCTCCGAGTTATAGCCGCACACTCGGCCCGGCTCTAGCCCTCCCACAGGCATGCCCGGCTCTCCCCGCTCACCCTGGGCGGTGGGGGGGGGGGAGCAGGCCCCTCTCTAGCCCTCCCCGACCATGGGCACCAATCCTGTCCCTCACACAGCTGGGTTCTGTCTGCAGCCTGACCCTCCTGGTCTCGTCCAAACCGTGTGAACCACCGTACGTCAGAATGAAAGGGCAGGTCTGCCCAGAGTCAGCGTGGCGTGTGCTACAGGTTTTATTATTATTGTTACAAACTCACCAATTGGCCCTATTAATTTGCGACAGCCAACCCTGCAAAATTGCCGTTTCTCCTCCTGCACAGGCTCAGTGCCTACGTGGCCCAGAGTGACCAGACGGGCGGAGGTGAGGACACTACCGCTCCCAGGGCCCACAGAGCCCCCTGCTGCACCACCCGACCCCTGACCAAGCTGTTCTGTCCGGGGGGGGGCCCCCTGGAGGGGGCGGCTGCCCTCCCACGGGGAACTCAGGGAGAGAGGCGGGAGGGGACAGCGGGAGAAAAGGGACGGAGCAGGGCAGGACAGCGTGGGCACTGCGGCCTGGCCCCTCCTGAGCTGCCGTGTCCAAATCTTACGTTTATTGAGAAATCAATACGCCCTGGGGGTCCTTTCAAGCCTCCCAGGAAACACGCCGGGGGAGGGGCGGCTGTGGCCTGGGCCGAGACACAAAGACCCCAGACGCCTGGAGAGGAGCCGGAACCCCACTGGAGAGCGCTCAGGGCCCTGGTGCCTGGTGAATTCAAAGGCAGATAGCAGAAAGGCACCAGTAAATCAATTAGCCTGAGAGAGTCGGTTTCCCGAGGGCACGGAGGGGCAGTGAGAACGCGGCACGGGGCAGGGGCAGCCTGGGGACGGGGACAGAGTCGCTCTGACCCACACCAGGCCCCCTCTGGTCTTGCTCGTGAAGCATCTGGACATCAGCAAAGTGATCTGATGTTCTTTCTGTTCCTTTACAAATTTAAATCTAGATTTCAACTCCTTATTTTGCAAAAACCCATGCCAGCGTAGGCGTGAAACTGAAACTCCCTCAGGCTGGGCCCGGCTGGTGCCGAGGGCGGGCACCCCGGTGAGTGTGGGCACCCCGGTGAGCGGTGAGCACGGCCCCGGCGGCTACTACGGGTGCCACTACGTCTGCGGTGAGGCTAAGTGCGGGCAGCGGTGGGGTGGATACAAAGGGTCAGACGCGGTATATGAGATACAGGTTAACTGGCTAATAATAATAATCATCTATGCTCCCTGCCCCTCGGACTCCGCACCCCGGAGGGAGGGGCTGTGCTCCTCAGCCCCGGGGACTGACAAGCACAGGACGGCCACCCGGTGCCCCCAGGCCCCCAGGCCCCGGCCGGCGGAGGCAGAGTCAGAAAGGCAGAGTCTGAAGAAACTGCGTGGGGAGTCCTCGGGGCGCCTTCCCGGGCTTGTCTCCGCTTCACGGGGAGCCTTCTCCCTCTCCCTCGGGGCCCGGGCTGGCGGCCGGCCCGGCGCGCTTGCTCCGCGCTCCGCCCAGGGCCACGTCGGCCTCCGCCCCGCTGGAGTACTCGGAGCGCAGCATTTCGGCGAGGCAGCGCTTCCTCTGGGTCCTCCGGCGGAGGTCGGGCCTGCGGGGGGGACAGCAGAGGGAGAGACTCGGTTAGTTCTCTTGCGCGCCCGGAGAGGGGCTGCGAGCAGCCGGCGCGGAGACGGCGGCGCTGACATTTCTGTGCGAGCAGAAGCGCGATCCCTTCAACGAACGGTGCTCGTTTTGATATTCTGTGCGCCGGAAGATTAGACGCGGCAATGACAGATTTTCATAATGGTGGCAAAACACCGTGGCGTTTTTAAAAGGGAGGCTTTGTTCTGTGTTGTTTTCCCCGGAAGAGGAGCGACTCGCACACTGCTGACGGCAGACGCGGTGCGCGAGGCAGCCGTGCGCCGAGGGACGGGGCCACCGGGAAGCCCAGGCGCGTCCCACCCGCGGGGAAGCGGCCGGCGGCTCCCCCACCTCGTGCAGTTCAGAGCGCCAGCTGCGCCCAGGGACGGAGCCGGGCCGCCCGACAGGGGCCACGGAGCACGGGCCGGGGGACCGCCCCGGCCCAGACACCTCTGACCGGCTGAGGACTCTCGGAAACAGTTCCGCCCCGGAACGCCCGGACCCGGGGTGTGCGCCCAGGCCAGGCCGCAGCGCCCGGGGCCGCAGGCCGGGGTGCTCCGGGTGCAGCTCCAGGTCACCGCGACGAAGCGGGTCGCAGTTGGCTGCCGACGGAGGGTCTCGCCTTCAACGTGGAGACACACACGTCCGAGGAGCCCCCTGAGGCCCGGCCCCGTCATGCCAGGTGTGCCTGCAGCCGTCTTCAAGAGACCTGGCCACTTGATCGGAAGGTCAGAGGGCACATTTCTAGTTCAGCCGGACTCAGGAAGCATTATTATGCAAACTAAAGAGCCGCATTTCAGAGACAGGTTTTACCCAAAGCGGCCACCGCGCCGTGACCGCTGAACCCACACTGGGACATTGGCGATTCCTCAGCAACAAGGCGGCAGTGCCTTCGGGGGACAGTTTCTCGGGGTTCTTGCAAGAGGCAAATGTTTGCCTTTGCCCAGCTACACCTGCACCGTTTTCTTCACCGTAATCATCGGAAGACAAGTCAGACTCCACTGTGGTCAACACAAATGTAACAGAATTCCCTTAAAACCTCCAAATTACAAGCAGGTCCACTGACCGCTGGGACTCCACGGAGGCTGCACCACGCCGCGACGGTGCCGACGCCGGGCTGGACAGCCCCCCGCCCCGGTCACAGCCACACCGCACACGAGACCTGCGACAGCCGGACAACGGCTCCCACTGCCACCCGTGGGGAGGCCTGCGCAGCCTGCCTGCGCCAGGGAAGAGGCGGCCGGACGCAGCGGGACGATGAGGACCCGACGAGGAAGGTCCGGGAGCCTGGGACACGGGAGTGCGTGTGGGGCGGGGCGGGGCTCGGCGGGGCTGGCAGTGCCCCCGCAGCAGGCGGGACGACCACCCGCACTTTGCGGAGGAGCTGGGGCTTGAGCAGGGTGCGGAGAGTGCGAGGGCCGCGGTGCCAACAGGCCGGAGGGGCTCTGGGACCACAGTCCCGCCGGCGGCCGGGCCGGGGCGGCTCGAATGGCCAGGCCCAGCACCACTGTGCCGACATGGAGGGGCGTCCGTGGTCACACGGAACTGCTCCAGCAGGACGACGGGGGGACGGATGATGGGGGACAGGCGACGGGGAGGGAGGTGACGCGGGTGCAGGGATCGGAACCCGGCTCCGTCGCTCACGAGCTCAGGGACACCAAACACGCGCCCCAGCCTTTCCAGCGGCCCCGCGGAAGACCGGGGCGGTGCGCACAACACAGCTCGCGGGGCCTCGGAAGGACTGAGGAAGACACGGGGGCGGGCTGGCAGCTGGACGGCGGTCCATCTCGGTTAGAAACAAGGGAAGGGAGGTCCAGAGACGCCAAGCGACTCTCCCGAGGCCACACGGGGACCAGGGCTGGCTCTGAGGCCCGTGCTGACCCGCCACCTGTTCGCACCAGGGTCCCAGGACCTGCCCCTGCCCCTCAGGGCTGTGCCTGTGTCCCTGGCGGAGGCCCGGTCTCCAGGGGTGGCCAGGTGGCTCAGCGGCGGCGGCAGCGGCAGCAGCAGGAGACGGGCCGCCCGTGGAGCCCGCTGAACCCGCCCCGCTCCGCACCGCACTGCACCGCAGGCTGCCGGCGCTGCCTGGCGGTTTATTTTTAGCCGGGCTGCATGACAGACGGAGTGGAGGGGTTGTGACAGGAAGGAACACTCTTCTCCCCCTCGTCTGAACCCGCTACTCACAATGCATATAATTTTACATGGAACCACCAGTTTCAAAATATGCAAAATTTCAGTCAAAATAGCCTCCCCGGCACGAGCTCCCCCACTCACATCAGCGACTGCTCCTGTCACAGCTAAACCGGAGTCGGGACCCGGAGTCTTGGGGGGGACTGAACCCGCACCCAGAGTCTTATGGGGGGTGGGGGGGGACTGAATCGGCACCCAGAGTCTTAAGGGGAGACTGACTGGCACCCGGAGTCTCGGGGGGGGGGACTGAACTGGCACCAAGAGTCTTAGGGCGGGACTGAACCAGCACCCGGAGTCTCGCAGGGGGTGGTGTGGGCGGGGTGGGGGGGGACTGAACTGGCACCTGGAGTCTTACGGGGGTGGGGGGGGGCACACGACTGAAACAGAGACGATGCAGAGCAGGCAGAGGCCGGCTCAGCCCGGGCTCCAGCAGACAGATTGCCACCCCCCCCCCACCACGCGCCCACTTCTGAGGAGTGGGACGGTGGTCGGAGGTGGACCGGCCAGCGCACAGGGGTGGCCAGTGAGGACCTTCCGGGCCACACTGGCAGCAGATGCGTTAGACCGCAGGTCCTGGAGATGGGCCTGCTTGCCTTGAGGTCGCGATCTCAAAGTCCCCGGCAGTTTATCACTTTCTTCTAGTCAACGTGCAGTCGACCCTTCAGGAGCGGGGGGCTCAGGCCGCCGGCCGCCCGCCCAAGGCGAAAACCTGTGAGACTGCAGCTGGCCCCCGAGTTCGCCCGTTCCCAGCCGTGGACAGAAAACACAGCCCCGCCGCGAACACCGGGGGTCTGAACTCACACAAGGAGTCACGTCCAAGTGGGCCCCGCCACCCCAGCCCGAGGTGTCCACGGTCAGCAGTGCTTTCAGTGTGGGCCCCAGACCCAGGCCCTGCGGGGGCAGGCCTCGGGGTCAGCCCTGCTGGCATGGCAGCCACCCCAACGGGACCCGCCTCCCCTGGCCGGCGCACCGTCCCCTCTCCTCCTTTGTTCTCAGGCCCAGTGCCGAGGAGGCCGAGTGCAGACGGAAGAGGAAACGCTCTCGACCCAAGCCCACGACGGGCGTGTGTGGGCTCCGCGCCTCTGCCAGGCTGTGGTCTGTCTCCCGGGGACCTGCCAGCTTCCTGCCCTCCTCCCCCTCCAGACACCCGGACCCTCTCCCACGGGCTCCCCGAGTGCGCACCCCCGCCCGGAGTCACCAGGCACCGGCTCCGCCGATCCAGCCACAGGGAGCCCCTGGCGGCACGGCTGCACCCCTCAGCTCCCGCGCCGGGTCGCGGGGCCGGACGGGCAGGTGGCCCTCACCGCCGGGGACGCGGGCTCGCAGCCCGTCAGCACGTGCTCGGCGCGCCCACCCCGGCGGCTGCTGGAGGCGGAGCTCGCAGGGCCGCCCCCAGCGTCGTCGGTAGATTGGGGTGTCCGGCAGAAAGGCATTCCGGCACGGGCTTGGGTTCATGGCATGCTTTGGCAGGACGAAATGCTTTCTTTTATTTTGCTGCTCCCGCACCGTTAGTTCAGGGAGAGCTCGGCGCCGCCGCTGCCGGGGAGAAACAAGGTGGAGGGCCGGACCCAGCCCGTGGGCCTTGTGCTGGCCACCTGTATCCTAGAGCACTTAGAAAGTGATCGAGGATGCTTTCTGAGTCTGCTATTGCTTTAATTTCACCTACGTTCTATTTCGGTTTACAGCAGGGTGCGGGGAATTGAACTATTTCTCCCCCAAAGTAACCCCGGTCACTGAACAGCAGGCCTCCCCCAAGGACCTGATGCGCGCCTCTGGACGGCCCCCGCACACCCCCAGCGCCCCCTGCGGGCAGAGGCTGGGAGGGCGGCCGGTGGCCGACGTGGGGGTGGGGCCCACCAGAGACACCAACACAGCACTGCAGCCGACGCTGTGGGCCGACCACGGATGGAAAACAGGTTGGACCACAGCCAATGCAGCTGGCTGCGCGACCTCAGGGACTTGGTGTGCGCCGGGACCTGCTGTGAGGACCCCCCACAAGCCCGGGACAGGCGCCACCTGTGCCCCCACCCCACTGCGGAAAGGGCTGAGGCTCAGAGGGGTCAGCTGCACGCCGAGGGTCGTGCAGCGGTCACGGGAGAGCAGGGACGTGAGCCCACGGCTTGCCCACTTCGCCGCTGCGCTGCAAGTTTTCACCACAGCGAGGAGCGAGCTCCGTGCACGAAGTATTTTTAACACAAAAACCATGTCCACGTTACCTTAAACCTCAGACTTCTGGAGCCCCCAAGAAAGTGCGTCCTCACTGTAATAGCTGTATAAGCCAAGTGGGAAAAAAACAGCGTAGAAGATCACGACCCGTCCGCTCTCCACACACACACACACACACACACACACACACACACACCCGTGTGCGCACACACAGTGCCCAAGGGCGCAGAGTGTGCGCGCCAGGGTCAGCTCCGACTGTGGGCTTATGGGTGGCCTTTAAGCTGTTTCTCTAGTTCCTGAGTTTTGCTATGGACGTGTTACTTTCATAATCAGGAAAAATGGTATTCACTTAGGAAAATAAAACAAAATGCTAGAATTTTGCCTTACGCTGAAGTAATCAAGCATTTTAGTATTTACTTATCTAAACCTCCTCGCCTTTGCCTTCTGGTTTATGCGATCTTGTGAGGGATTATTTTCTGTGGGGTGTGCGGACGGCAGACGAACAGACGGGCTGGGAAGGGCACTCGCCTCTGCAGCCGGGGACACTCTGCCCTGGGGAGGCCCCGAGGCCCGGCACTCCTGCTCGCTCTTGCAGGTGAAGAGCAGGCAGCG